CTGGTCTAGCAGGGATACTTTTGGCGAAGACAAGTTGCTCTGCCGCTAGCGCGTTATACAAAACGGACGACAAAAATGCGCGATTTGAGGGGATGAGGAGGTGTCCGGGGAGGGCCGCAAGGCGCGTAGGGGGGAGGGCGACGAGGGGGGAGGATGGGGGTAGGGACTCTTGAGTGGGCGGGGGGGTGAGGGGGAGGGAGAGGGGGGGGGGGGGGGGAGGGCGGGGGAGTCGAGGGGGCGGGGGAGTTAGGGGGGGAGGGGTGTGGTGAGGAGGTGGGGGCGGTGAGTAGGGGCAGGGTGGGAGGGGGAGCGGGGGAAGAGGGTGGGTGGCGAGGGGAGAAGCAGGGGGGGAGGTGGGTGGGGTGGGAGGAGGGGAGGACGGGGAGGGGGGGTGGGAGGGGAGGGATGGGTGTGGGATGTGGGAGAGGGGGAGGGGGTAGAATTGGAGGGTAGTGGGGTTGAGGGGGGGGGGGGGAGGGATGTTAGGGGGGGGAGGTGGGGGGGGGGTGGGAGGAGGGGGGGGGGGGGGAGGGGAGGAGAGGGGGGAGAAGGGGAGGGGGGAGGAGGGGGTAGGGGGAGGGGGTGTGGGGGGGTGGCAGGGGTGCGAGAAGTTATTGTCTGTCTCAGGGCGAGGCTGTCCGGGGGGGGTCCAGGGTGGTGCCGCGGGGTGGGGGGGGTTTATTGCGCGGCGGAGGGGCGGCCGGTCTGCATTCTTGTGTCCTTTCCCTTGCTGTATGCTCACCTACCGTTGTTTCTATTCCCTCTGCTCCTCACGTTGTTTACATACTTTCCCCTTCTTTTGTCCTTTCCTCTTTGTTTATCCTTTATTCTCGCTCGGGGTCCTCTTGTTCGTAAGACGCTTTGTTCCCGCCTCCATGTTCCTTCATCCACCCATCCTCTCCTATTCTTTAGGCGTTGGGGGGGTTGCGGGGGCGGAAGCGGTATGTGAGGGCGGAGTTGCCTAGGGGCGGGGGAGTGCGGGGCAGTGAGAGGCGGGGGGGTTTGTGCGAGGGGAGGGGGGGCGCGGGGAGGGGGAGTGGGGGGGCGCGGGGTTGGGGGCGGGGTTTTTTGGGGGTGGGGAGGGGCTCCTGCCTTTGTATCGGGGGGGGAGAGAGTAGGAGCAGGGAGGATGGCTGCGGGGGTAGGAGGGGGGGCGGGTGGGGCGGGGGGGGGGGAGGCAGCATGGGGGAGTGGCGGGCGGGGGGGGATAGTAGTGAGGGGCGGGGAGTGGAGGAGCGGCGGGGAGGGGACGTGGTGGCGCAGAGGGGAGTAGACGAGTGGGGGGGTGGGACGCAGTGCGCGTGCAGCGCGGGGAGTGGGGAAGCGGAGGGGGGGCAGGGGTATCGTGGAGCGGGGGGGTGGGGGGGGGGATGCCCGTGACGGGCAGGGGGAGGATGGAGTGGTCGGATGGAATTTCATTCGGTTCGGGGCGGGGTTTGCGGGGTATGGGGGGGTGGAGAGGGAGGGGGGATAGTGTAGGGCGCAGGGGGGGGCGGGTGGTGGCGGAGGTGGAGGGGGGGGAGGGATGTGGGGGCGGTGGTCAAGGGACACGGGACGCGGGTTTGTTGTTGGGGTTTTGGGGTGAAGGGCGGGGCGGGAGTGGAGGTATGCTGAGTTGCGGGGGGGGGGGGGGATGGAGGGGGGGTGAGTCTGTGGCCCGCCAGTGGAGTGGGGGGGGGGGAGGGGGTATAGTGGGGCCGGGGGGGGGACGGGGCCGTGGGAGGGTGGGGGGGGGAATGTGCGCGGGGGGGAGTGGAGGGGGCGGAGGGAGGGGCAGCGGGTGGGAGAGGGGGCGTTGGGTTTGGGGGGGGGTCCGGTGGCTGGAGAGGGGGGGGTATGGATGTGGGGGTGTGGTAGTGGGGTTGGTTGAGGGCGGGGGGGGTGTTGGGTGAGTGGGGGGTTGGGGCAGGGAGAGTGGGAGGGGGATGTTGTTCTGTTGATGTGGTGGATTTGTGGAAGTTAGGAGGGTGTTTTGTATTTTTTTAATTTTAGTATTTTTTTTTTATTTTTATTATTTTTTTTTTTAATTTATATTTTTTTTTTTTTTTTTATTTTTTTATAACAACAAATTCGGAGGGAAACTCATATCCGGGTGTGCGCCCACAATATGCAGGCTCACCAGCAGCGTGCAGTCTGGGAGGTCGTCTTGCAACTAGCTTGGCTGCTGCTGCAGGCAACAACAGGCTAGGAGGGGCTGCAGACTAGGCCGAAGCAGTTTACTTTCCGCGCAATAGGATCTGGCACTTCAGAACCTGCAAACCAGAGACACGCGTGGGGGGGATGGGGCGGGGCCATATACGTGAAGTTGCTAAGCGACAGTTTGCGCGTGCGCATTACTTAGCAGCCTGGCCCCCGCCCGCCCGGCGCCGCCCCGGCTACTATCTTGTCTGTGTTGTCCAGCCTACATGTCTAGTTTCTGTTGTTCCTCGGCTATTCTGTTGTCTTTATCTTCTCACCTTGTTTCCTCTTCCCTCACTTGGGCATACAGTCACTGGTCAGTTCTGTAGTTGTGCCATCATTGACTGGGAAGGTCTATATTATACAGACTGAAACGTTTCAAGATATTTGTTACTTATATTGGCTACTACGACGAAGTTCACGATTGGCTCTTTTATTGGCTGCTATGGTAGGTACACAAATTTTGCCAGCACATTTGAGAAACAGAGATCATTGGACAAATTCTATCTTTAGTTGTAGAGTGTACACTGCGACTGACACATTTCATTGTACAAGAAAGGAGGAAACGAAATAAACTTATTGCAATAGACACAATACTAGCACTTAATAAACGATCAACAACATAGCTATAAATAATAATACAAAAGAAGCAGCGCTATTATATAAAAAAGCACTGCATGCATCCGGGTGTGATAATTCCATTCCCAACCCTACTTTGCACTTACAACATGTGCATCATAAAACTGACTGCATTGCACTTGTTCATACAGAGATTCACCGACAATCATACATAAGCTATGCTTTTTCAGGAGGAATATGCGAGTCTTGTGGTACTGCTGGATGTTTGAAGTGGTAGACCAGAGCACCAATGATGGCGGTGGTGGCGATGATAACCAGTAGCAGGAGAACCGGGACTGCAACAGCCACTCCAATGACCCAGTTATCTGGACCAGAGCTGTCACTAGAGTCTCGGTCTAGACCAGCTTTGAGAGACAGGGATGAGATGGAGGGAGAAATCCAGAATAACATTATTGCTACCATATGATTTTTGACACGCATGCAACACTATGGTTCGTGCTATAATAACTGCCTAAAGAGAGAGCTATAGGTACATAAATGCTGGTTCAGAAGTTCTAACCAATGGGATTATTACCTGGGCCAGCTATTGCCCACTTATTGCATACTAGAGGCATGAACAATAATTATCGTCTAAACGTAGCCATCTCATGAGGTGTTTTGGAGTAGCACATAAGCATGAGTATTATGCTTTATCCACGTTCGTAACAGTAGTTGGTATTGACCATTGAGGGTTGGTCGACGACTTTGCTTTACGTACACTGACTCTCAACATCAATATATACTAACAACAAACTGTAAATCACCACATTACCACAATCCCACGTATCATTAACCCACAGGATGCACATATTATCATTAACCCACAGGATGTCTTATTCAAACCCTGCATTCATTAGTATCCCACTGTCTCATTCAGAGCCTCACCATTTCCTATGTCCACCGCCACATCCTCTCCCTCTCTCTCTCCAACTACTATCATTGTAGAAGAACGAGACCCGACTTTGAAAGTTGGTAGACCACTTCTTGTTGCAACGATGACTAGTTTGAAGCTCTGCTTTTGTTCAACCTCTGCTGGTGTAAGGGTAAGGCTCAGGCAGGACCTTGTGCTATTTTCAGCAAAGACAACGGAGAGAATCTCTGCTTGGGAGGCAGAAGTCATACCTGCAGCATAACACAACACAAGTGATCAGATTAAGACTTTTGAGGACAAGTACATGAATTTTTGCGAAAGTATTGCCGAATGTGTCGGTCCCAGCTGACCTCATTCAAGTTGTTTCTTTTTACAAGATCTGAGAGTGTTTGTACCATATGCTTTTGCATGCTTCTAATCCCGCCCTGTAGGCAGGGGCAAATCCAGGGAGGGAGTTGAGGGGGTTGCAACCCCCTGTTTCGTAAAGCATGGACGCCAAGAAGCGGACCACTGACACTGACCTGAAAATCACGTTGTCACCCCAGATGATTGTGTAGGCTTAGCGCACCGCCACAGGGCAAGCAGCGCCCCAAAAAGTTCACGCGCTGTTACTCTGTAACATCCGAAACAGAGAAGCATCCGAGTAGGCTACGTACGTCGTATAATGCGTATATATAATACGCTAACCGCGCCCCTCTCTGAAGCCCTACCTGCGCATGCGCAAGTATTTTATATTTAAACCCCCAGTTATCACGATAATTTTGCTGGATCTGCCTCTGGTAGGATATGAAAACTTGGCACTCTGATTATACCTCCAATGGCTAGTGTATGCTAAAAGTACATTCGGATTAGGACAATTATTAACTTGTGACTTTTAGTGTAAGCTTGATATACACCACGTCAATGTATATCATCTTCATAAAGTAGAGGGTAATTCTAAAATTGTTCAGAGAGTATCTAGCTGTATATACCTCTGGATAGAGAGACATTGACAGTAAGTGGCAGTGTACTGTCCATCTCATCGGTGACGTTCTGACAAGACAAGTCTCAATAGAAGTCACTGGGAGAGTGTAGTTCTTCTGACTCTCCTCAAATTGCACCTCTGGCACTGTAGCTGAAGCAAAACAAAAATTGCGATAGTTTGTAAATAAACACCAAACTACTTGCTGTAAAGCTGTAAACTGAAAAAGCTGCTTAATTGAGCAATGTTTTTCAAAGTCTTTTGATATGGGGAAATAACAGAACCCGTGACTTTCCTTAACTGACATGAAACTCAAAAGTATTCGTGAGACATGCTTGTAAAGTGAGTGTGTAACTTGTTGTCACTGCATGCTTCGATACAAAGTTCCTCTAAACCCAAGCAGCAGTGCTCTTTACCAACAGATTATTGTCTATTACTATTGCAGAGTAGAAAGTCTCAGTAATCACAACCTCAATAAGCCCCTAATGCCTTGGTCAATCAGGGAAGACAAGATTGTGGCCACTGGTAGCTAATGGGAGGAAGGTGGAAAACAGAACGGTAGCAACCCAAGCCAGTCAACCTATTGGGAGCTGTTGTTCGTCCAATGGACAGTTATGAAGTGTTTCCCAACTGGCCCACTGTTGATGCAATCTAGCTCCTATGGGAGCAACAACCTTCCCATGCTGTCTGTATAACCCCACTTTCATTGTTGGTGAAGGAAAGTTGCGATTGCATCAAACACCTTAGCTAGTAAACATCTCTTACACAAAACAAAAGTTGGAAGAGTATGAATTTGCTGCTAATAATTTAGGCAGAATATAATCCTCTTTCAAACTCTCAAATTTCATACCTATCAGAGCTTTGACGGTAAGACTGACACTAGAATTAGGTCCCAGATCAAATGGAGGCTGGTCCTGGTGTACTATGGCAACTGAGAAGACGGTGTCAGTGAAGGGGTCGTGGATGGCAGAGAGAGGGAGAGAGACAGAGTCACAAGAACTTCCAGAGTGTGCGGTGAAGCCAAATCTGTGTGTCTTGGAAAAACCACCACCTGTGGAAAATAACATAACCTTTGAACTATGTGAATACACACACATGCATGGCTGCCGAGTCAGGTAAGGGCTTACGAAATTTGGCAAATGCACAGTGCAAGGACGTAGTGACCTCTTGTGCACCTGAAGTCGAAATGCAGGTGCATGTGCTTTCCCGCATGGTGGCCATATAATTGGCGAGCGGGAGCGAGCCAACCTAGTCGTTCGTTCGAGCGGAATTTTCTGTGTATAATTATATATATATATATATATATATATATGCATTCGTACGTCGTGTAAGTGCACATGCGCGTATTTGTACGCGCTTCTTTTTATCCGAAATTATTTCAACTCTCCTCCATTCGGCGGACGGTGACTGTATACCTCTTCCCAATCTCCATGGTTCCAAGGTGCAACTTGCGAATACGCTAGGATTGCTCGTGCACATACTGCTGCATGCCAGTTGCCTGGTGGACCACGACTGACGAGCTGAAAGCGTAACCTGCTCACCGTTCTGGCAATATACAGTACGCATGTAACGGCGGCAGGTAAATCTGTCTTGCTTCACGAAAAGAAAGCTGCGCTGACAGCACGTTATGCAGCCCGAACATTGCGGTCAAATCCCAAGTTGGGTCGCTCCCGCTCGCCAACAATGTTCAACATTTCCACTAGTAAAAACCCCAATAATAAATACCTTGTCCAGTAACCGAGACGTTGACGCTGAACTGGGCGTGGCCTCCTCCAGTGTTGTCGTAGGAGAGACAGACAGTAACTGCCATGTTCTCAGAGTACTCGATGCTGTAGCTACTCCTCTCAAAACTCACTGCTGGAACTGTAAAAAGAGGCACTAGCTCTAGATTCAAAATATCTTCAAGAAATATGGTTAACTGTAGGCAGATGCAACTAGCTAGTACGTATGTATAGTGCACTATTTAGCAAACAACTCAATGACATGGAGTAATGCTCCCATTAGAACATTGATGCAATTAGCTACATACTCTAACTGTACCTAACTCACCAATGACATGCAGGGTGACCTCTTCAGGATAGATGAATTGTGCTTCGCTGAAGGATGCAGGGAGCTGTTTGGCGATCCTAAGTGTGGAGTTCTTGGTGGTGTACCTGTCACTACTGCTGTATGTAGGTAGCCTGACTTTCACCTCCATATCAATGGCACTGTATATAATCGAAGTCAAAACTGTCTGGTCAAGCATAGTGGCGTTGGCTTCGTTGGAGATGTATTCCACGTTGAAAATGTATCGTGATTCCGCAGCACCTCTGTTTGCTCCAAACGGGATTGAAATGACAGAGTCTTCAATGGCATAGACGTGAGCCTGCTTCCACCCTAGAACTTCAGACAGACCGACAGACACACACTTACAAACCAAGTACTGCATATGAAACAAATGAGCTCCATTGAGTAAGTATGTATATTGAGCTATTGTCCAGCTAGCTATTACTATTTGGAAGCATAACGCTTTCAGGTGAAAACCTATAAACAAACATGGGAAAGCAAAAGGAAAAGGAATAAGGACACACACATGCAAGCACACACGAACTATAGCAGAAGTACGTATTAATAATCTCTTTGTCTCTATTCAACAACACATGCTAGAGCATATGTACACAAAAGAAGAAGGTGATACTTGAACACGTGTATATACCTTCACAAGTGTGGCATTTCTCAATCTGTCCACTGTAGTCGTATGACATACCAATAGCATTCTCAATACAGCACTCTCTTGGAGTAAATACAGTTTGTATGAGTTCTCCCTCGCAGTGTACCTCGGGGAAGCAGCGAACCTCTGCTGCTTTGGTCCCTGTAATAATGACATCAATACTTTATTAATCCTGTGGTCTCAATCTTTTGTAGGCCGAGTGTTAAAAATGGGCGTTTGTTGTGAGAAATTCCCAACAATCGTCATTCATTTCTCTGGAGACAAGAGCATTCACTACTGTTTTAAATAATCAACTGGAGCTGCCAACACTGAAGGTATATATACACCTTTCTGAAAGCCCATACAATCTCGCCATGCACATAACAGAACATCATCCTTTCATAACAGCCAGGGGTGCGTTTACCACTAATTTAGCAGGTCTCCCTCACAGTATACTGACATACATTTTAGTATACTAAACAAATCTGTAGCATTTAGTGGAAAGTGTTGCCAGTGACAGCTGTACCTTGCCAAATCAGAAGGAGGCCGCAAAGTAGAAAGTATGCGGATGTGGAGAACTTCATCAAGACTTCTGGCAACTTGTAATTTGCAATTTGGCTCAGCTCTGGAACGCTGTCGTCGTTGATACTGAGAAGAGACAAGGGGAATCACTTTTTCTTGCGGTTACTCAACTCGTTACGGCTGGTTGCGGCCACACGTAACTGCGGTCCAACTGTTACATCTATCTGGCCACACAGACGTACACACGAAAACTGAATTTCCTAGGCGGCGTGCGCGTGGCCTGCCACGCTACATGCTAAACGACGGTAACCTCGCGCCGCTTTTCTACTGACGCAGCTAGGCTTACCGGTGCCTCTGCAGCCGGCCGGCTGAATGATTCTCTTGAGGGAAAGAAACGAACCACCATCGACGCACGTAACAGCCCTTGTGAAATCTTACATAATGCGCATGCGTACAGTATCTACAAGCCCGCGTACATAAGGAACGCTCCAGCTACAGTATATGCTTTCGCCTGCATAGAATAACAATGGGGACAAATCTAGCATTTGTACTTGCTCTGTGTTACGTCGCCTTGACAAGAGCAACTCTTTTGCCTTCAGGTGAGAGATACCTTTGTTGCAATTTTCCTTGTATTGTTGTTCACTGAACAGGTTTTGTGAAAGAGTCAAGCCAAGGTATTGAATTTTATGTGGGAGTGGTAATAGAACTCAACCAACCTCCACATCCTTCAATTCTCGTGTCAAATGACGGTACAGAAGCTGTAATCTTTACACTACTGATACAAGACCCACAATATGAGCTCAACGCAACAGTTGAAAACGGTAGCGTGGTATCCATCCCTCTACCACAGCCATCATTATCATCACTCATAGACAGTGACAGAGCACTCATGGGAGTTAATATTAAAGCCCATCAACCCTCAATAAGAGTTTTCTTGTCTCCCGAACCAAGCCATATCTTTCCAGCCTTCCCGTGCGAACGGCTCGGGACCAACAGAGAGGACCAGGTTCTGTATAGTTACCACATGTTTCCAGCTGCTCTGACAGAACAGCCGTCAACAAGGAGCAGGCTGCTGCTGGTCGGGTGCCAAGACGCTACTATCCATCCAAGTACTCTCAACAGATATGCTCACTCTTCCTGTTTCTCTCAATGCAACAACCACTCGTCCCATTCCCCCGAGTGACTCAGTCACTACATCTTTCGTAATGGACCAATTCGACCCCGTGGCATTTCTACTCACAGGAGACGTTTCAAAAACATACGTACTGTCCAACAAACCAGTCACTGTTACTCTAGTAACGACTGCTGGCTGCATACACTGCATCTTTCACGAGTGCTCCGTGTGAAAACAGCTATTCCCAAATATCTCCGTCGCTTACTTGGGGAAGAGTGTTCCTGGTGTCATCTCGACCTGGAAGCGGTCCTGGGGCCGAGTACATGATTCAGACTGGAATCAGTACTTCTACATCTGTCTCCGTCACATGCAGCAACTCTACTCATACTGATATTCACTCGGTTTCACAGGAGCTGTCCCTTGAGCAACTGTCTCGTTTTGCACTGCAAGTGGCCTACAGGCACTACTGCAGTATTGAGTCCCAGAACCCAATTCAAGTAGTTCAGTACAGTCTTCGAGAACCTACAGAGATAAATACTACGTTTCCCCTCCTAATTCTCCCTATTGAACAGTATGGTATCGTCAATTCCGCCATTCTCCCTTTACTAACATCCACTGAAGATGATGCAGCAGACAACGGAAGAGAATTTAGGTTTTATGCGACAGTGTTGGTTCCAGTACTGGGACAAGAAGAGTCCAGTACAGAGAGAAAGAAGGTGTTAGTGGACGGAGAGCCTGTATCTGGGGACTGGAACGAGGTATTCTGTCGCAACACAAAGTTGTGTGGATACGTGATAGACATACCTTTGCCCCTGCAATCAAGTGTCAATATATCACACGAGACCTTGGATGTGGCTTTCAATGTCGTCATACACAGAGACGGATTTAATCCATCCAGTTACTCTCCAGGCTCTCGACTCATTGACCTGTCAGGTTGGACATGCTATATATAGGTATCTTCACAGATGCTGTGCTATTCTTTTTTTACTGTATATGCACAGCTCCCATAGTGTACATAGAGAGGGCATCATACACTGCGTTGGAAGAAGACATGCAGGTCGAACTGACTGTCGTAAGAGATGGCAACCATTCCGAAGAGACAGTTGTTTTATTTACTACCAGAAGTGGCACTGCATTAGGTATCGTTGTGTGTTTGACTGTAAACTAGTGGGTGGCTGCGAAGACCTTTATTACACACATTTACCAAGTTCCATCAATTAACTGAAGTGCTACATGCATAATTGCGTTGTTGTATATAAATTTCATCATTGTTAGGAAGTTCCCAAATGAAATCATAATGCCCTGAGGTGGTACATCTGGTGTTTACTGCCCACGTAATTTTACGATCGCTTCCATATCTAGAGACACACAGACTGCCAAAATGAACACCTGTAGCTACAAGCCAGCTATTTATGGGTGTGCACATCTTTTGCGCAGGTGGTGAGGATTATGTGGACTTGAACGACACTCTCACTTTTCAGCCTGGAGAGAGAACTAAAGTTGTCACAGTCACCATTCTGAATGACTTTCTGCTTGAGGAAAATGAGACGCTCCATGTTTCTATCACTGCTGACAATGACAGGGTGACGGTAGCAAGAAGCAATTCCACAGTCCTTATTAAAGACACTGATGGTAGGGGCTTAACTCAATCAAAACTTGCCGCGATTCTGTCGCTCTATTTCACTGTTTCTCTCAGCTCTGGAGGTTGGATTCGATAGGGAGAGCTACAGGGTGGACGAGGTCACAGGGCGCCTCGAGGTCAACATCACCAGCTCCACTACATTCCTCGGTCCAATGGAGGTGGTCCTCACCATGACAACATACGATGGCACTGCTGAAGGTACGACCAATGCCTGCAAGAAAGAATTGCATTTGGCAGCCTGTCACTTTCCGACAGACAAGACAAGATATCATCACAACTCTCTGTGCAATAAGAAACATGCTCTAAATGGTTTATTCACCTGTCCTTCCTCTCATTTTCTTGATAGAAGTACGAAAACTAGGACACCCTATAATCCACAGTAAAATTTTGCTGCATAAGCCATATACCTCTATTAAGTGGGATCATGGGATTTGCGTCAGTAAAAAAAACTTTCCTTTTGAAAAATTTTTTACATCTTATACAAAACTGTTTTCCACCACAGCTCCAGATGACTATTTCCCTCTGAATGTCTTCCTGCTGTTCACCCCTGGAGTTGAGAGTATCACTGTGACTCTGCATGCATTTGAGGACCTGATAGTGGAGCCAGAGCTAGAGTGGTTCTCTCTGGGTCTGGATGTCCTCGTAGTCCCGGCTGGCAGAGTCATCTTTACCCGACCCAATGCCACCGTCTTTATTGAAGACTCCAACAGTGAGTTTGTGTAAAATATTCACGTTCGACGTTCAGCAATCCATTCCAAAAGAACTGCTTGTTAATGACAAAACCAAGCACTACAGCATAGACTAATGTGCATTCCCAATAGAAATTAGTGATGTTAAGGCTTTTCTCAGTGAGTGGAGCAAACACAATCTTCTTGTACTACTGTCTCTTTGTGCTCACATATTGCATACACATTGTATGCTGTAGCACTTCAACTGGAGCTAGTTCCCAGCAGTATTATGGTGGCTGAGGATGGTGAAGAGGGGTCAGAGGTCACTGTAATAGTCTCTAGTACAGGACAGACTGTCAGACCGGTGAATGTTTCCCTCGTCACCTTTGACCTCACAGCTACAGGTAACAGTGGTAATTGAAGGGGATCACTAAGAATAGTTAAGAATACATGGTTCAAAATATGGTTCTAGGTAGATACTGTACTGTCCTAGTGTTCATAGTTAGCTATGTATTATCATACTTCTCCCTACAGCTGGTGAAGACTATGAGCCTGTCAATGTGACTCTCACATTCACAGAGGCCACGACATCATTTGCAGTGGTGTTGGAGGTACTGGGGGACTCTGTAGTGGAGGGAGACGAGGTACTGGTGGCTGGGATAGTGGTCCCTGAGGGAGAGAACGGAGTCTCACTGAAGAGCAGTCGTGCAGAGATCAGTATCATTGATGATGACAGTATGTGTATAATTACATATGCGTATTCCGCATGAAAATTATCCCAGCTATAATACATTGCCATAGTAGTTCATACTTTTGTTAGCGGATTATTCTCACAAATGATGCACACAGCTGTATACGGATTACTTTAGCATTAGATAGCTAGAATAGTTTAGATTCATGAGGATTCTAGGATGATGTGTTGGTTGTAATAGAGTGATAGATATAATCAAGAACTGTATCAATGGTTCCATAGGTGTTCTGGTGATGTTCAGTATGTCAGAAGTAATAGTGAGTGAGGCAGGTGGAGTGGTTGATCTGACAGTAATCAAGACAGGGGCAAACTCTAAAGACGTCTTCGTTACATTCTCTACTCTGGATGGAAATGCAGTCGGTAATAACCAGGCACTGTGTGTTCCTGCTCAGTTGTTGTGTTGGCCACACATCCATACAAAATCAGTAGGGGGGATCTATAGCCCTAGTCTAAACACTTGCCTATTATGTCATCCATTGGCTAACACCCAGCATGCGATATTTCATCATCGATCCTCTTCATGTAATGCAGTGCACCATAAGAAGCACAGTGTAGGTGCAATGATGTAATGCAGTGGAACCTCCGAACAAAGGACACTGTCTCGTAGGTCAAATAATGCACAAAAGTGGATTGAAACAAGTGTCCTTTGTAGAGAGGTCGTCCCTATCTCGGATGGTCCCTTATTGGAGGTTCCACCGTAAACTGCCAAATCACCTTCCTTTCTCAGAGGGTGCAGACTATACATCTACCAGTGGAACTCTAACTTTCTCTGGTGGCGACTCCTCACTGAGACTGGAGGTTCCCATACTAGATGACGCAGTGGTAGAGTATGGCGAGAGGTTCATTGTGGCTCTGAGTGCCCCAGGGACTGAGTCTGGAGTGAGACTGGCTGAACCACGGAGGGTGGTGGTCACCATCACCAATGACGACTGTGAGAAGTTTAACTCCATTCCAACAACATAGTTTTAGCCCCTAAGATTCCATGCACTTCTCACTATTCTTTCTTCTCCTTCTAATACTAATGTAAGCTACGTGATGTTTTAAACCTTTGTCCTAAAATCAGTTCTAAGAAGACGGAGAAACACTATTTCGCATGCTAATCTTCTTTGCTCTAGTGGTAAAAGTTGGATTCTCAGAGGTGGTCTATACTGTGTCGGAAGGAGATGGGGAGATCCAGTTCACGATCACCAAGTCAGGGGAGAATGCACGGGATGTGGGGGTCACCTTTGCAACGGAACAAAACTCAGCCATCAG